TACAAATGAAAATGTGGTGAAAAAAGTTAATGATGTTGTCGATAAAATACGTTTGGTTATCATTCATAAATTAGAAAATAGCTTTTTTGATAATGTTACTAAACAAAATGCCATTGAAAAAGCAAAATATATTCATAAAAAGATTGATAAGTATAATCTACGTATATATCTACACAGATATGACCACAGCGTCTGTCATAGATCAGACGTCAGAGCAGTTTTTCTGATTGTCTTAAAATTGAAATTAGGTGACTTCAGGTGGTCTCGGAAATGAATAAAAACAAGTTCTTGATCAGTCTGGCAAAAATCCAAAACTCATACTTCGCTCACATTCCAACCATATCAGTTGAAACGTTCACAAACTACTCTGTTGTATCTAATTTGTTGACATGAGTAGACAACTGAGAGTGTATTTTCTTATCATTGAGTTTTTCCTCAAGTGGTCTTAAGAAAAAGATGATTCTAGAGTTTATCGGTACTCTGAGTTCAATCTACTCATTTGATCATGTACACGAGTATGTATCAAAAAGTTTGGCCGGCTTTTGAGCGAGGCAAATTTTTCATTTTTATACCTTTATAGTTAAAACTAGAATATTTGCCTGAAAACTCATGTTAATTAGATTATCTCTTTTTCTAAAAAAAAATATTATCACGACATTTAGAATAACCCATAGTTTACATTTTTTTATTCATTTCTAAGGTTACCCAAAGTGGCAAAATAGTAAAAACTGCAGCTCTCTAGTCCTTTCTTATCAAGCGAGCGACATTCAATATTCCTGCCTAATTTTTTTGATAGATAATAGCATTGTTGAAGATTCTTTGCATACTACCTAAAGCGATTAATATCACTAATTTTTCCGTTTTCTTCTCTAGTGTCTCTTGTCAGTTAAAACAAAGATAATAGATGATTTTCATAGTTCTGTCTATTCGCCAAAAGCATCATTCTTCTCACTGATCTAAACTTCGGAATATGTAGTCAGAAACGTGGAAGAGAGAAGAACGTTACCATATTTGTATATAGCGAATATAACAAAAATACTGCATAAAAACTCACTGCGAGTTTTCTGTTTCTTTCTCTTCTTTTCTTTCTGTCGCCTTCAAATTTCATGACAAAATGTCTCTTTTTGTTCTAGTATAGTAGTTCCTATTGTACTTAGAAAAGCAAAAATCTAAATTTCTGATATTTATTAATAATACATACGAATTGAATGGTAATAGATGCATTTTATTCGATGTTTTTGATCTAACAGTAGCAGAATACATAAAAAATTCTGAAAACTTAGAATCAAAATATTCTAGTATGTCCAAAGCTAATTCCACATTTAACGAAACGCTTAGAACGTGGATCCTTGCGAAGGGTGTAGTCTTCAGAAATTGCAAGTAGTCAAGAAAAAGACAAGTTCCTCGCACTTTTTTCTGGTCAAGAAACGATTTTTAAGTTTTTTAGTATTTTTTGACTCGAGAACTGTGAGAAAAAGACATCTTTTCGCTTTAAAAGGATAAGATTTCAGAACATATCGTGACTCTTCATCGATACTCCTGTCTATTAAAAATAGTAATAGCATTACGAGCTTTTCCTTCAAAACAAGTCATATGATATTACTTGAGCCTGTTCAACTTACGCTTGTTTCATAATTTTATAATATAGATGTTTTCAAATCGCAGCCATCAGCTACAGCTGTTATTCTTATTTCGCACATCAAGTGTGTTCACACAAATCAATCCCTTTTACATCTTTGTGCCTCTTTTCTCATACATTTCAATGAACACAAAACTCGAGATTCTAGAATTTATTTATTCTTTATTTCAGAATTAACGTGATGGCTAGTGAGCAACAAATATCACTAACATCAACATCTAATTTACGGAAGAACAACAATCGTAATTCAATTAACGATAATAGTTCCACGCATATTAACTCAAATGGATTTTCTCGAGGTGGATGGCATAAAGCAATTGCTGCTATTGATGAAATGAGACGTCGAACAGAACATACGAAAAATCAACATGATCAGCAATATGCACTCGATACACCTCCACCATCATCATTATCAGAAGAGTCATCACCCAGTCAACAATTAGCAAAAAACGCTCAGGTTAAAGTTTTTCAAGACGAATTATTATTTGCCAAAACAGGCAATTTAAATTTAGATAAATTAAGCGATGATTTTGCGGAGATGAAAAGAACATTTCAGGAGATGTCAGCCAACAAACAAGAAACTATTCAGTCTGTGACTCTAACAACAAATATAACAAAAACAGCATTACTAATTATATTTCGTTCAATAGAATCGATAGCACTAATTGTTACAAAAGGCAATAGAAAAATGACAAATTTTCAAACAGTCATTGCCACACTAAGATCAAAACAAGACCTACCATTACCAGGAAAATTATTATGTGAATGGTATCAGGCAGCTAATATACTCGAGTTGTTATTAAATGATCCAGATTGGCTATGTAAACGACGAAAAGCAAAATGGTCCATTGAAGTGTGTACTGAAACGTTGATTTGGAGTAAAGGTGTGCTAAATGAAAATTTTATAATGGATCATCCGCGACCCATATTTGATCGACACGAAAGTTTGGATATTGTTACAACAAGAGAATAAACTCTCAATAACTTGGCATTATGTTTCAGTATAAATCTTGTCATATTTTATATCAGCATATCTGTCTTTTTCAATATATACTACACGTACTTATGGAGAAGTCTAGTTTTTTTTGATCGATTTTTTTTTGTAATTGTCATTTTTGACAAATTTTAATTCATGTATACAAGCCAAAGCCTTATATAATAAATCTCAACTAAGTGTAAAAGATGTTGTTCAATGCATAGTTTCATAGCTATGTTATCCGTTATATATTATTCTTTTTGTCCAACACACCCAAACAGTTACTCAGCACTCAAAATATTTCAGTAATTATCAGATCTTTATCGATCTGGAAGAGGCTTAAATTCTAACATAAAAGTTTTCTGATTGAATATTTCTGAAAATATCGCCTGGTATACCATTTAGTCAGAATAATTTCACGTATAAATATATAATTGTATGTCAACAACTGTAAACAAAAACACGTAGAAACAAAATATAAAAAAGTAAATATCTTCAAATACGTTTCTTTTCAGTGCCAACTGGTTCTTGATTAAATTTCATTTTTAAATCATCTTTTGTGATCGGAGCGTCTTTTACTTCACTTTCAACGAAATTTTTATTCTCATCGATCTCGTCGTCGTCGTCATCCGGTTGAAATACAGTGATAGGGTTAGTGTAAACGATTGCTGATGGAATCATGATAATACCACGATCGTTTGTTCTTAGATGTACGTAACGAACATCAATGTATTCGACAAAACCTGAGAAACACAACAAAATGAGTAAAAATAACAATGTTTTCAGAAACTATTTTACCTTCAATTCCACCGCCGCTGCCATGTATTTTCAATCGACATCCTTTCACAAATGGTTTATTTATCACTAAAAATATTCCGGATAAAAAGTTTGTTGCCACTTCTTTTAATGCGAAGCCCACGGTAAATCCAGTTATTCCTAAATACATGGAGAAATGAATGAAGAATGAACAAACTCTCAGCAATTATGTCATCTACCTAAGCCAGCGATCAGAGGTTTTGTATCTAAACCTGCTGTTCCCAAAAGTGTGACTCCAACAAATGAATAAATAGTTACAGCGGCCGTTTTGGATAATAAGCGAGCAACGTCTTGATCTTCTGTTACTTTTGTTCGTATTAAAAATCGTTCGATCGGTGGCGAGATGGCTAAGGCTCGTTTCAAGCGTTGAAAGAATGTTTTTGACCGAATATCTTCAGGTGGAGGAACGGGTGGAGGAACAGGAGGTGTGGAGGATGAAGAAAATGGATTAAGGAAACGAAAAAAACGACGAATCACACCATATTTTCGTACTGATGGTGGTATTGTTGAAGAAGAAAATCGATATTGAAAACTCTGCGTGGAATTCTGGTGATATATCTCAATTGATCCCGGTATAATAAATAGTTTATTATGTGCATAAGAAGACGACAATAAACAACGGTGAAACGTTGGAACAACTATTCTAGACAACATTATATCATTTAATTGTTAAATAAAAATAAAACATAAACTATGTCATCTAAAAAAAATAGTGAATGTTCGTGATTTCAATTCTATATCATCTTGATTCAGGACTGTAGGGGAAAATGTATGCGCTATGAGGATGAATATCGTCTAATTTTTACCAATTCATGCAAATATTCTAAGTCAAAAGAGTCTTTCTTATGTCATTGGCGATATTGCATTGATACTAAGTTTAGTTGATGAAGCTTTTTCATAAAAATGTTTTTTCGTATCAATAATTGGAGTGAAATAATATGTCAAACGATTCAAATTAAGAGCACATTAATCGTTTAGCGATTCAAAAAAAATTCAAGGTTTAATACACTAGATATAATCTATGATTTAAATACATAACTCTAACTATTCGCTATCACTCTAGACAGAGGAGTTCGTAAACAATTACAAAGAACTATCTGCTAAAAAGTTGTCCTCCCACTAAATAATTTCCCCCAGATTCTCATTGATTGGCAATCAATCCGTATGTTCGTCCATACAACCTATTTATGTCAAATTGCATTTCAGTTTTTCTTAAAATCATGCTTAAAAACAAATTAACACAAAAAATATACGCTAAAGTTCTAATACGTCAACAATGAAATGGCAGAGAAAAGTTATTTATAAATAAACATAAATGGAGATATTAATAGAACTCTTCGCTTAATTATTATGTCATAATAACGTGCGTGGAGAAATATTGGCAAGAAACATAATAAATAAATCGTGCATATAAATGTCTTTATAATAGTTGTATGAGTGGAGGAACTTTTATCTTTCTCGTTTGGCAACGTCATTCAGCGTTTGTATCCGTAATTTACAGATACCAAATGATGAGTAAGTAGACAACAACATTTTGTTGTGGTTCAAGATCCAACGTTTGCGTTTCATAGCTATAGAATGTCGCTAACTCATGAATGAATTTTTGTTTATGTGTTTTCATTGGTTTAAACGAATAATATCTTTTTGATGCTTTATATTTGATTGTTTCATCCGGCAATTGTTGTATATATTTTTTAACTATTTATACAAATTCAGTGTTTCGTCTTGCAAAATCTTTTAAGCAATCTGAATATTGTAATGTTTGTGTCGCTTCTTATGGTGAACGATGTTCATCAACATTAATTTTTATGTTTGAGCAAAATTTGGACTATGTATAGCGATTTTACAATCATTATCACATTCCAATCTGGGTACTTGATAATATTTTGATTCATTTCGTTTGTGAACGATATCAATTGTTTGAGCAGATAATGATTGAGCTAATGATTGTACTAAATTGTTCAAGGGTTGATGTTGATCACCATTTGATTTTGTATTGCAATAAACATCTTTGTTAAACGACCAAATTCACATTTTAAGCCAAATAACGACAAATGGATTGTGAACAAGGATCACACGCATGACACGGCAGTTTACAAGAATGAAGACGTGGCTGACGCTTAATTTCACATTTTAATGAACATTCTGATCTCAAGCTAAGCAAACTGTCGTTAATAATGACGAACACCGTATGCTAAATTTTGTCATATAATTGACCACATATAACATCTTTTAAATGACGTCGGATCTAAAAACGTACACAGAAAATTGCACAAATGAGAAATTTACTTATATTCGACAATTATTTGTTGTTAACTAGCAGTTTTACGAAATTAAAGCGTTTGTAAGATGTTCAATACTCCAAGATACTTATGAACCGTTATATTATATATATAAAGTATATTGTTCGATGGAAAAATCTAGAGCTAAGGACAACCAAAGACAAATTCGGATAGCTCCAGTTCTTATGTAGTCTTACACATGATCACGGCAGGAAAATAGATTTCCTACCAAAAAAACTAGATTTCTAAAGGTTGTTTCCCGCTAGCCGTCATAGTGTGTGGACTGACTGACAATCGATGATGACGCATACAACCGAAGGTAAATAAGCGCTATCTCTTTTTTAACGCATGGATCCCAAACTCATTGGATGGAAATGGTAATTATAAGAAGAGATTATGATATATTCTGTTTAAAGTGATCAAAGTTTTTGGACAATTAGTGCTTAATGAGAAAAGCCGCTAATGACGCCACCGCATGTCACTATTTCAAGGTGCTCAATAACGTAAACAGCGTGTTTGTCGGAGAGATCTGGGGCCTGTTTTAAATAAGACTTTTCTGATCATATCCGAGCTTTCTACTCAATGAATTTGAGACCCACACATTTGAGATTGATTACCCTTTTTCATACAACTGAATTTTTCGTTAGTCCCAACAGTCAAGTATTAATTGATGCCTGATTTTGACGGCTAGTGGGAACAATCGCTGTTTCGTTTTAGCTCCAAAAAGTAGCTTCAAAGAGCCGGAATCAATGCGAATTGTGAAGTATATGGTTTCTCCTTGGAGCTACTATTTGCCGGGTTTCTAATGAGAATTTTGAGCAGCGCCTACATAAGCATGGTAATTCGTGGATTTTATCGTTCTGTCTTTTCCTATTGGTTGATACAAAGCGTATTTTCAATTTAGTTCGCGTACCGTACGCTTTGGAACAAAAGCTTTGGAACAAAAGCGTACGCGTAATGTTAGAAACACTGACTGTTTGAAGCTATACTAAAACGAAAGGAAACAACCATTCCTAAAAAGATACTGGTTTGTTTAAACGCAGATTAGACAACGTCTTCATCAATAAAAATTTAAGTCAGTCCTCTTAAGTTACCTTTGATTAATTAATAGATAACAGCACCACTAGGAACAGCGTAGTGCATGACTAGATGTATAGTCTAGGAGCGTTGATTTTCCAACAATTAATTTTTCCCTATAGCGTCGAAAAATTACATTCAGCGAGGAAATCATCAGTTCGCTTCATCCCTTACACCTAGATATGGACGAACCAAGCCTTTTCGATCCCGGTCTCGTAGCTGTTTTTGTCTCGTCTCGGTTCCGAAAGATTTTTATGGTCCCGGTCCTTAAACCAATTCCGCTCACACGGAAAAAATACTCTATTATTGCCGGAAAGTTTAGGAGTTTTTTAATCGACAGTCATCTGTTATTTGTCCCTTAATGGATGAGGTATGTCGTATGTTTCTTCTTCTGATAATACAAGCAAAAGAACCGGTGCATGCCTAGTTATACAAGATCTTCTGACGATTTTCTACAACGTTTCTATTTAAGTATGAAGAACAGGTCAAGTTTTAGCTGATTTTACGCAACTGTCAAAAGAAATCTTAGTTCTAGTGTCGGTCTCGGTTCAGTTCCGGAAAAAAGTTTGTAGTTCCAGTCCCGATAAAAATAACTTTTCTGGTCCCGAGCCCGCCCATGTCTACTTACACTACAACGGCCATTATCATGTTTTGCATAAAAAACATAGCAACTACTATCCATTTGAAATCAAAAGGCCGATGGATGCTCCTTAAATAACTGTTGAACAAAAGTACCCCAAAAACCCGATCTGAAAAAATCTTTACAGTTTCTGTGTAGATTCTTTGCAGAAAAACTGTAGATTTTTGCAGCCAATTTTTGTATTGAACGAATAAAGAGTGCCAAGCCTGTTTGGCACTTGAAACGACTCGTTCGTCCCGTCCCTTTTCCATGCTCAATGGTTCGAGACACAGACGGGCTATCCAACCCGTGCGCAGCCTCGTTTCATGGTGCTATTTTCTTATATTAAAGAAATGACTGTATGCACAGTGTATACATCTGTCTAGCCCGTTTATATTGACTTTTGTTGACAGTGTGCAGGTATGTTTACATGAGAATGTGAATGATTATTGTCGTTATTTTTTCATCAACTCAATCTTAACCGTATAGTAACTAGATATCTCCTCATTCGAAGAGAGAGGGAAACCTAAGGCTATATTGTCGTCAGAAATGAATAATAATATTTTGATTTTCTTTCATGGGTAGATGAACCACAGCTGGGTAGATGAGACTTTTCTTATCAGTAGTTTAGGTGTGGCAAGAGATCTTTTAAGAACCCTAGATTTTGTAGTCTTGATCAAAGGTAATCATATCTAATAGCAAATCTTGTGGCAATGTTTACTGAAAGATAAAAATCTAGAAACCTAGTGGAAACCAAGTTGCATTAAAATAAGTGATTTTGGTCATTTTCATCATCTAACGGTAAAAAGTCATCATTCGCCCAAAATAGACGTAAACGGCTTTAAGATTCCGGGTATAGAGTCTAAAGAAAAGTTTAGAACAAAGAATGAGCTTTTAAATTTTTGGATACGATAGTATTCATGATTACTAAAAATCATTGCCATAAGATTTAGGGTGGTCGATTAGACATGATTACCTGTGGTAAAGATTACAAGATCTGCGACTCTCAAAAAAGTTCGCGGCCACGTCTAAGCTGTTGTTGATTTTTTATAATAATATGACCATAGATCTTCTCTATCGAATGCTGCAGATATGCTCGAGTTATTTGACTCTACAGTCGTGTAATATACACAAAATGACGCTCCTATACTAATTGTTATGTATATTTTTTTCGGTAACTCTGTTAACAACAATAATGTATCTCTTGTACAAGAAAAAGAAGAGAACAATTTTTAAATCAATATTACTATAGAACAAAGCATATTATAGAAGAGAAGTATTAGCAATGCTGGGATATAAAGAAAAAGGGTTAATATAGTGTAGTTGAAAGCACTAAGCAAAGTAAAGAAGAAAAAAATTATTGACAATAAAAAACCCGAAACAAAGCACCGTATATGCGTGTGTGTATGTGTGTGTGCATACGAGCGACTATCTTTAGAATTTCTTGGTATAACACAAAACACGTAAAAAATAAATAGCAAAAGATAAATTTAAATCTACGTTGTGATGGTTGTTTTATTTTATCTTCAATTTTGTAATTAAATACAATCTTTGCATAAAATTAATTCACCATCTTGATAGAATGATTCTTCTGCTATACAACGCTGGCATTTTGAACATACAAAACATTCTTTGTGCCAATATTTATCTTCAAATTCTAAATATTCAACATCGGCAACAATTGCTTTTTGACATTTCGAGCATCTTTTAGCATGTCGATCTTCATAACAACGTACACAACATGGTTGACCTTCGACCATACTAATTTTTGACTGAGCGCTTATGGGTTGTTTGCATGTAACACCTAGAGAAGAACAATACAAATACAGTTACAGATTGTGATGAACTAACAGACGCGATGGTATGAATGGCATTCTCAACAGTTTTTATTTATCCTTCATCCTTTAGACTTATTGTAGCTGATTATTTTTGTCATGAAATTTGCCTCTACAAAAAAGAGTATGGAATGATTTATTGCAAAATATAAAAGTTCAAAGTTATACGCGTAATATGGACGGAGAAGCTCCAAAATGTGCAGTTTTATAACGTATTCAAAAGAAGTAGTTTTTCTAAATGCTCAAGCAAATATTAAAATACCTAAGATTAAATTCAAACTCAGAAGGAAGAGTTGACTTGTATCTGCTGCGTAACCGCTGCTCCAAAAATTATAATTTTTGACAGAATCAGTAAAAACAGGAAATTCGTGCAAATGAAAGTTCGCAGTCGCGGAAAAATTCGATTTCGATCTTATTCTCATGCAACTGGTCATAATGTAAACAAATTCTAATAATCGCAAGAACCGAAAATTTTTCAAAGACTACAAAGTTGCTACCCATTTTTCATACGTACGTAGCTCGAAGATGATGAAATAAAAGCGTAAAAATCATTTTTAGTAAAAAAGATTGTCTATTTTGAACCTTTTCATTATTACTTTTATAACTTTACGCATTTATTTTTTGCAATAAACTACCCCATACGTTTGTTGTAAAAAGTTCTATGGTAAATTTAATCGGAAAAATAATCACTTTCAAGAGGTGTAAGGGAGACGGTATGATAAACCAACATTTACCCTAACCGCATATGTTAAAAAGCCAGACGTAAGCCTAGAGATTTGCTATTTGAGTAAAAAACTTTGCGTACATAAGAAACAGGCAGCATGATAGGATGCTCCACCAAATGTGATACCAGCAGATGTAATGACAGAACCACATTTGACACAACGCTTTCTTGGGAAACGTGTTTCATGACAATTGGCACATAAATAGTCATTATTAAATGGATAAAATTGTGACGTTATCGCCTTTCGACAATCTGCACACGCAAAACATTCTGGCTGTAAATATCAAATGAATGAATAACAGTGTTTTATAAATGAAAATAATCTTTAATAACTGTCATCAATATTACTTACATGATATTGTTTGCTATCAAATTCTGTGATTCCTGAAAGAAATAAAAACAATAAATCATTTTGACATACGATTTTATGAAATAAAAGAAATTTTTACGTGATCCGGCTGGAAACGGATTCGAACATTTTACACAGTTACTGAAAAGAGAAGAAAAAACGATATTGTTAAATGAGAGATGGAGCTATTCAGAAATATACTTTTCATCTTATCTAAAATCACTGATATTATCGTATAATCGCTTGATTATACTGAAGCAGGCTTATTTGCATGCTTCAATAGTATATTGAGAGGTAAGTGGAATGGTTGCATGTATCTTCGCTTCTCTCAACGATATCTTTCGGCGTTGTTTTTTTAATACAACGAGATTAAACACAAATGAATGCGATCAAAATCCCGCAATACTACAGATAATTATTGTCATTGTTTTCCTGATTAAAGTTTAAAAAAACACGTAGAACTGAAACAATACCACGTTAATAGTGATATTTAAAGATAAAAACTGCAGACACTTGAATTATTTATCAAAGTAATAAACTACGTTTGTAGTCAAACATTCGAAAATATTATTTTAACGATTTATTGTTTCTCGTTAAACAAAAGAATAACAGATAAATGCAAAATGGATATAACACTTTATATCAATCTCAAAAAAAGATTTCTCATTACTAAACATAAAAATAGATATTTCTATGTGCAAATATATATGTCAACAAAATTACACATCTCTATACAAAATGTTTTTCTTAATGTTTTTATTGTTGCTGTTGTTATTGTTGTTGTTACTGTTACTAAAAGAAGAGTTACTAAGAGAAGAGATGATTGTTAATGTCAGTCTTTACGCGTTCTACATTGAAACAATAATCGAAACTAGTTTTTGTAACATTATTATTTAGTACAACATTATCATTATATGATAAAACTATAATGAGCTAAAAATTGGATTTTGTGATAATTATCAAAGAATACCGTATACTCACATGGGAATACAAAATGCATTCTACATTGAAAGCGAACCTCAAATTTTCTAAAGAGTTTTACACACTATGAAACTCTCTCATGTATTAGGAAATAAAAATAATAGATCATGTTAAACTAATACAGAAGTGTTGTGTAAACCGTACTGTTTAACTCCGACTGTTTAACATATTTCTACTTATGCAACTGAGAACAGTATTTTACTATACTCTTTTTTTACAGGAAAAAGTGCAGGATTGATCGGTAGTAGTTAATTTTTACGATGAAGATTCTTCTAGTACAAAAACTGTTCTTTAAATCCAATATTAAAAATAGATCCTAAAGCGTTTGAAAACAAAATAAAAACCTTCGATTCGTTGTAAAATTCGATTTTTTTTCCAATAAACCAGTCGATTTTCAGTTAAAAACGCCGCGCTATATAATCAATCAGTTCGTTTTGACTGATATATTTTTAATCGATTCCAACTTAAACCTGTTTGGAATTTATACTTTATCAGTTTCAACGTGATTCTTCAATACTCTTTTCTTTCAACACTTCTTTTCCATTTGAAAACTCAGAGCATAAACAACGTGAAAGCACATTCCTGAAATAATTAAATACTCGTCCCTCTATTAATGTTTCTTGTGAATATAGTGAAACAAAAGAGTACATTGTTGAGTAACGCTGTTAAGTGTGTTATAAATGACGATTAATAGAGAATAGCGATAATACCACAAAACTATGTCAAAGTTGAGTTTATTTGAAGAATCGAGCTACATCTCTGATGGACTTGAAAAAAAAAACTTGTTTGTTATGGTTGGATATTATACTGGATGATAAAACGAAAACGAGCATTAATAGTAGTTTTTTTAATAATGCTTGATAGTTTTCTAATCAGCTTATGATTTATTTCATAAAAAACAGAAGTGTATAACAAGCGTTTGGGCAAAAGATCATTAAAATCGGAGTTGTCCACTTGTGAATTCAAGTGGATAACTCCGATTTTAATGATCTTTTATCCAAACGTAATCTTTTGTATAGTAGCGCTGGATATTTATTATAATAATAGAAAATTTCAGTTGTTGCTAAGTTAATGATATATATTTCTTCATCACCATTGTGAAACGCTTATAATTAACGATAGCGAAAAAAAGAACTTTTCGTGAACACATGGGATTTCCTTAAGAAAGGAAAATTCGATAACTTGGCAAATAATAAAGTTAGAAGACTGAAACTTTCTATGACTATAATAGATATCCAGTGCAACTATATAAAAAATTTCAGCCTTTCATACCGTATTTTAGCGGAGTTATGATTTTTTTAATATTTTATCTAATGTATGGTATAGGCAAAATAAATTCTCATAAAATGCAGTTGATATTCCTGTGAAAATACAGCTTTACACTTTTAGATTAATGCATGGAGCCGTAGAAAAATGTCAAGCTTTTGAAACAAATGAGAATTTTCAGACAGTTCATAGAAACGAATCGAACAGGTAGATTAGGCATGTACGATCAATAATGCCGGGTATCAGACGTCAATCGCGATACGAAGCGGTGATCCGCTTGATTGAAAAAGCAAAATAGCATCTACAAACGAAAGATATTATATTCCGTAACATGATATAAAAAACGCAAAACCTGATTCTAAAGTAGACAAGATATATAATTCCAATATTTAATAAATCCATTTTCGAGCAAGTTGCCAACTTATTTGATTGCTTTCTGATTTATGGCTTTTTCTTGATTTATACTGGAAAAAATGATCTCTCGTAGAAAGGCTGATGCAATACGCTCATGTCTATATTGTCCGATTTATTAATCAAATGGGATTTGCTCTACTGCAGCCCAAACTATCTCTCTTCTATATTGTAACAGTATATGTACGAATTGTAAAAAGAACCTTCCTTTGACCTGAACTTGAATTCTTTTAAAAAACCACAAGAAATAAGAAAGAATATGTAGAGAAGCAAAAAACCACATTCTCTTTTAAGAAAACCAACGTATATTTTTTTCTCCTTCGTTTTGCGCAAAACAATAAATCTTCTGATTTTTAGCGTTTTTCTTCTAATTTCTTAGCCTTTTGAGTTGGCAGTTCTGTTCTCAAGCCGCCTTAATTCATTGTTAAACCATCACTTATACGTAGAAAAATAATAGAAATCTAACGTATATCTTTTCGCACTTCGGTTTTGTTCCGTGTCATATGTGACAAATGTCTTCTTTTATTGTTTTCTTCCTCTGACTGACTTATTGGGCAATGTCCATACACCATATGTCTTGTACAAAAAGAAATATTTTCTTATCTGTTAGATTTTCAATTAATCTTACTCAACATGAGTATTAATTTGATACATGCTGTTATCTGAAAACTAATTGTATTTTGTGAACAAAAAACAAATAAATACTTACCTCATATTATTAATGGAGAAAATAAATCAACAAAATTGTAAACTTAAATATGTCTTTCGAAATAGAATAATTATAATCGTTAATATGATGCTCTGTAAAAGAACAAGGAGAGATTAATATATCACAACATATAGTAAAAAGAAGATTTTTGTCTTTTTTCTATTTTTTTTTTTTTATTTCTGTAACTCTTGTTATCACTTGATTTATTTTGTTAGATAGTCTAAATTTGTGCATATTTGTTTGTGGGGAATGCACAAAAAAAAAGTTTTCCTTTATGGTATTGCAACTCTAAAAATATACGGAAAAAAAGGAGACGGATTTTTTTAATTTTTCTTTTTTTTTTCGTTATCGTATAAGAGAGTATTTTTTAGATGGTACCGCTATTTCTCTTTTTCTTTTCTTGTTGCTTTTTTTTTGTGCGTAATAAATGTGTGATAAAAAAAAAAACGTTGATATTTTAAGAAGATCATATTTATCGCATGTATGTGTATCTCACTTCTCTCTCTCCCTCTCTCTCTATTAGTATATTTATGTCACTGTCATTAGTGTATATTTATTTTTGTACAGCAGAAGAAGAAGAAGAAAAAAAGATCTGGTGTTTTACAGAAAGAATAGACAAAACTATATAGACCTCATACCGATTCATTTATCTAAACAAGATATATGATTCTTTCTCTTCGTTGTCTATTCTCATAGCATATGTACAAATCTTGTCCCATTTCTAAATACAAATAACTACTATCATCCATTTATTGCTAATTAGGAAAAATGAAAATGTTCCGTTCTCTATTTCCCTCATTTTTTTCTTAGTGTTTTGAAAACGCGGATGTTGTCCGTCCCCAGTTGAAAAATATTAGAGATATACACATTTTGTTTGTCCTTGGTGTAAAAAACGTATCTATAACATAATGATACAATTCAGAACCTTATGATAATAAAGTTGACGGTGATTGTTTTTTTCTTTATTTATATTAAGAAGGCATCATCGGTTATATGAAACATTGATACACATATATTAAGACAAAAAGTTATCACTAAGACAGAGTTCCAGTTCATCGAAGATAGGAATTGAATTTACATGTCTGCTTTTTTCCGCTTAATTTCAACACCCGTTGTTCTCTCTTCAGGTTATTATCATTCACTTCTACAAAAAAAAAACTACTATAAGTCATGTCATCTTAAACACCAATTAAATAGACAAATCAACTTAGAATTTGATTCACCGTAAGTGTCGAATAAATACAAATATTAAAAAAAATTAATATCTTAAAACTAGTGAATCCTAAAGCAACAATAATGACTCTAATTAGACGTAAACATTGATATAATATTACAAAAAAAAGAAATAATTTAGTCTACGTTAAAGCTGTAGGCACTAAGATTGCTATTGCTCCATTATGTCGTTATTACTTCTTATATTTAGTGATTACAGATACGTCTTTCAATGATTAATAAAAAGAATGGTGATTATTTTCAGGAATTTTCATGATGTGAAGCAGTTATTGTTCCAATAAAACCTGTTTTCCAAATCTTAAAAATCAATTTAAGATCAGCAAACTACTTTTGGGTAAAGCAGCCGAAGAAAAATCTTTATTAGACTATGTATATGTTCTTTGCACTCTACTTATTTTTTTAAAAAAAGGAAATTTAGCAATAACAGGTATATTGAGTAAAAATCTTTCGTCGCTGGTGAGTACAGAAGCAAATAACACACCATGAACGAAGTATTATGTCAAATAAAGACGAAGTTGGCTGAGTTCTAGCATATATTACATTATTATATCAATTGATATTTGCGACATTGTTGCTAATTTCTCTTTATTATTTATAAAACACTTGACACATTCAGCTTATAGTCAATAACAAAAATTTCAATAGTTACACTAGCATGATAAAAATTAAATCTATTACGTCGCAACAGGTGTAATAAACAAATAAAATAAAACGTGAAAGCAAGTAAAGCTTTGTAAGAGACGTAACTCTAAAAACTGTAAATATTTCTTTTAAAGTTAAATTTGTTTCACAAATCATATATGTCCAAGCAAAAATACCTCAGCCAGAATATTTAGATGCTTTAGTTAACGTATTGATCGATATCTTTTGCTCCTTTATCTGATATTCTAAGTGAGACATCGAGTTATTTAACTACGTTGTTCGATGTATAATTCAATACATCTACATCTATCAAGTTAAACTCGATGCAAATACCAATTCAAGAACAACGTTATCTAGTTGGATTTGGACGAAAGAAACATTTATCTACATCTAGATACATCAGCCAATGAATTTTGATGATTGGGATGCACTAGGCGATGCTCAATGCTTTTTTGCTTCTGGTATAGACTCTCTAACAACAAAACTGACTAATAAATTTCAAAAATATTATTTTATTCTTGAACTTACAAAGATGTTGAATTATCATTTGGTACACAACTTTTAAATAAATGATTAAAATATTTGTGCATTGAAATGTTTGTTATTCGTAAATGTATTTTCTAATAACAACCGTCATCATGTATCAACATCTATTAGAGATATGCTTATTAGTCAACAATGATAAATGAACACTAAAAACATGTCGACGACAAGCTCAAATTTAATTTTTCTCTCATCTTGTTGACACAGATAGTCTTATAATGATGATATTTCTACAGAATAACAAAGTAATTTAACAGGAAATAATGATTTATTACACTCTTGCTACAAGATTCACTCTCTCTGTATTTAATCTAAAAAGTCTTTATATCGAGACATATTAATGAGAAATAGTAGTGGCAAATGTACACATAGTTTTTGAGTAATTATTATTACATAAAGCCGTACAATAAAGAAGAAAATTCTTTACATCATGTCAGTAAGAACAGTGATGGTTTCTGCAGAATTAGAGGTGTTTCAATTCTTTCAGCACGTAAAACCTATTAAGTGTTAAAGGCCCATCCATCCTTGTTGTAACCCATTTACTTTCAAACTACGATACATGTCATATTGGAGAAGGACTTGATACACCGGCTCCCTCAGAGCGAAAAATCCTAAAGGAGAGTTTACGACAAAAAACTGCGAAGCGAACTAAATTTTCTTCTGTCCGTGAAAAAGAGAAGTTTTATGAAAAAGCAGATCCCTAAAAATCAATCTTATAAATTTTCTCAAATAAACAGTGATAATTGTCTTGAACGTATCTCATTAAACATTTGAAAAGATGCATATAGACATCTAAACTGCAAAAACGTTCATGAAGATTGGAAAATCCTACGATAAGATGCCGTAGAAATCCATCTGATTGAACTGTACCATAGTGCTGTAAGATTATTCTAGAGAATAATAAGTAGTTCGGGTCATTAGAAAAGAAGTGAGAATTTTGTCATAGAATTTCCTAGAATTCCTGCTACGGAAGGTGGCTTTTGATCTGGATACTAAAAAGCAAAAAGAGTCTAGATAGTTAGTAGGTGATACAATTGAAAATAGTAAGTCGAGTAAGATAGTCAGTATAATTTAATATATTTGTAAAATAACGCATCTATCATAACTTTCACAAAAAGCGTTTAATATTCGCATTAAAGTATGATGTGCAAGTAACTACACTACTTTATTTATATTAATATGTACACTCCATCCAGTAGTGACCTCTACTACGTTTATTGTTCATTGCAAAGGATAGGTCAAGATTTTTAATTGGATAAAATTTTTAGATCATATGCAATTGGTTTTATCCTACAACAAGTATTTATGTCCATATCACTGTCCCAAAACGTTACAGCATATGTGTAACAATGTCATGCTAAAAGTGTGACAATGTTACGATAAAACGTAACATTGTCACACAGTAATACGTAACATTGTCACACTTTGAGCATGACATTGTTACACATGTACCGTAACATTTTGGGACAGTGACATAAGTATATATATTTCATATTATTTGTTAATATTGTGTAAATGAGTTTTTGAGAGTTGATAACAGATTTCGTATTGTACGGCGTATTGTAAAGTAATATTTTTAAAGAAAAACTGAAAACACGCTCTTGAAAACAAAATTTGACGTTCACAAAAACCTAAAATTTTCTTCATATAACTGCTTACGAATTCATGACATTTGCGCGGATGATTTATGTTACAACTGCTAAATTGCTTAGTATAAGATTCTCACATGTAGAATTGATATTTTGAACGCCGAACTACAGATTATTACTGAATCTATGTTAATCATATTGAGTTTATGGTAGAACTGCGGGTCGGATTACGAAAAGTCTTAAGCCAGATTTAAGCCTAAACCGAGGCTTAAGTCGCAGTTTTTAAGTCACAGTTAAGTCCTCATTTCAGATTCAAACGGTATTACAAAAAAACTTAAGTCAAAGGGTGACTTAAATCATGGGAAATATAGTCTTAAAGTTAAGACCAAAAACTTAAGTCATTGACGCATTTTTCAAATAGTTCAGGTATTTAACGATACGATTCGACGAAAATTTTTAAGGAGGGTTAGAGAATGAACATTTCGTTATTTTACGGGGTTTTGTCCCAAGTTTGCCACTGTTGTCAACGAGTTTTTGAAAAAGTAAACAAATCGCCAAGTTAAGTCTTTTTGTAATACGGTTTAAGTCTCCGAAGTTAAGTTGGTCTTAAACTTAGACTATACTCAGAAGTACTCACGGCTTAAGCCGATGACTTAAGTTTTTTGTAATACGACCCCTTGGACCTTGTTGTTTTTAGATGAATGGGGAACAAAGCGATAACGAGCCATTAGATGACACGGATGAAGAGGATTTACATGAAGATGACGAAGAAGAAAACTTTCAAAACAATGATTTAAACAATCGTTTGCAACTTAAAACGCCACTTGGAGATGTTTTGCCGAGCACTTATGAAGGAAAAACGGTGGAAGAACTGTTTCCAGCATTTAAGCATAATTCTGTGCGTATTTCAGAATCCGTTGTAAGTTTGAGAAGTATGTTTAACTAATGTTGTTTATGTTTCAGATATTGAAATTCAGTAAAATATTTGGCCTTGGAAAACCTTATCATTTGCCTAAACCATGGAAAGACGTACGAAAGAGACGCAGAGTGAAGGACGCATTGTTCGTAACAAAAGAAGTAAAACTAAAGGGTTTATACTTAAAGTCTTAATCACTAATTATGTTTTAAATTTTTCTCGTAGAACAGAGATCCTAGTGAACAAGATGAAGACAAAATTAAAATTCGTGAACCGATTGGAGAAGAATGTGGTGAAGATAATGAGGTATAGTTTTAACTGATGTAGCCTTAATTAATTTTTCTTTGGATACATTTTAATTTGCTACGTTTAGACAGTTCGAGGACAATAAAATAGCACAAATTACAAAATTTTAGCCTTCTTTTATCGTTCTTATGGTAGCAAAATATGTGAGAGGATAATACTGGACTCACGAATGTGCACATTCTACTATTACAAGAAAATACCAATGAAGGCTAAAATTTTGTAATTTGCACTATTTTATTGTCCATCGAACTGTCTAAAAACGTAACAACTTAAAATATGTTTCTAAAGAAAACTTAAACAAAGACAATCTCAATTTCAGTGACTTTCCTCAAAAAATATCAGTAGAATTTAAAGAGAGACAATTATTCTCTTTGCAACTTCTTTTGAAGATTCAGTTTCTTGGACCAATTCCAATTTTTGATGAGCCAACTCAAGAACAGTTGTCAAAAGAAGATGTGAACAGTAGTTCAGAACAAAGCACTGCAGCAAAAAAATCTATACCAAATTGGCGTATAGGCCCAGCACGTTATTGGTATGACAATATGGGGCTTGATCTGGACATAACAAAGTTTGATTACGGCTTTAAAACAAAACAAGTATATATCGATATCTTGGCGTTTTTTCCAGATCTATTTTATAATAGTATTATATTTTATTTCTTAAGTATGATCAACAACAATCACAAGATGAAAATCATCAGGAGAAATTGAACGTATCAGTTGAAAACTTTTTACCGATTAATCTTGTTCGATGGGAAGATGACATCATATTTGATAGCTCATCGTTACGTGAACATTTCGATTTAAATTCACAAAAGATACGTTATTGTGCGTGGATACCAACATCTACCTATCGATCACTAGCCAGTTTTCAAAAAAATGTATTTGGTACGTTTTAAGTGATATTAGTACGCTAATTAATTATAAATGTCATTTTCTTTCTAACTTTAGGTAAAAATGTTGACTATTTAGAATCAAAAACTGGTAAGTGCTAACATAAATAATATAAACTAAATTACCAACGGCATGCGTGTTTTTTTCTTTGAAAGACGAAACAAAGTACAAAAATTGGTATTCCATCTTTCCAATTGATAATTATGATTTAATGTATGGCGATTGGGAAAAAGATATTATCATCGATCCAGAGGTAATGTACTCCTAGTTGTTGTTGTTTTTACAAAAGGTAAACAGTAATATATATATCAATTGCGAATCGCGGTGCCGAAAAATTTAGATAGATACTGAGGGAAGTTTGCATAGAAAGAAAAATTGTTCTGCATCTATGCTTAGGTTAAAAAGATAATTCGTCTATTGTATGCAGGCATGGGCGAATCTGAGTCCGGACTGAAAGATTTTTTGGCGGAGTCGGACGCGGACTTGATTTTTTGTATTTCGAGTCCGATCTATTCAACTTTTAACACAAATGAAGTAGAGAAAAATGAAAAGCGAAATAACAACACCTTGTGTTTCACAAGGAATTGAAAATTTTGTTCGAGAGATGAACATGCGAAGTAACCTTATATCCGAAAAATCAAATATCTATCCAGGGTTCAGTAAATTAAATAACAAATAAACCACTCTCATCAAAAAAGAATCTAAAACCGGACTCGAAATGGACTCGGGACTCGGACTCGGTCCTTAATTTTGAGGACTCGGATTCGGCTTGAATTTTTAATTTTCATACTACATCGAAGTAAACAATTGTTGAATACACACCTAATGCTCGGATTCTATTTCTAATTCTGCATTTCACTATTTCAGTTTTATATAAGCGATATGTTTGTCTTTTAAATTTAGGAAATGGAACGTGTTCGTGATCCACCAGAACTGATACTGGACGAAAATGATGAACATTTGATACTTGAAGTACCGACAGATCTTAATGATCATCAAAAGCATTCAAATCGTGATCAAGATAAAATCGATAATCCAAGTAAAATGAATAACAAAATACATCCAAAAGTAAATTTTTTATTTTGGTATATTTTTGAAATTAAAATTATACAAATATGTTTTATTTTTAATAGCAAGATCATCGAGTACGTGTGACTCGTACAGTCTTACATAGCACTGGTTTATTAAAAGCAAATGATGACACAGGCGATGAGGATGAAACAAGAAGAAATGAGAACCAAACAAATCAAAATAATAATCGTGTAACACAAACCAATGATTTTTGGAATTTATCAAACGACGAATATTATAATCCAAAATTGGCCGATGCAGTTGTTAAGAATATAGGAACATTAAATTTACAGGTAAATAGCAAACACATAGTAGTCAATTAATGTTGCCCGAAGCTCAGAGGGCGGTTCATCAATACTTTTAACCTTCATATTCTCACCTGCGGTCTGCATGGACTCTAGGAACCAGGCAAACATCGCACATGTGGGAATATGAGGGTTAAGTAGCTCATAAACTTAAGTAAATAAGTAGACGAATAAACTTAGTTATATATTGACTGAAGTTTATCTTAAATCCATTGAGCGTGATCTTAAGTTAAGTCCCAGAGTTGTTTCAATTAAAGTTAAGTCAGAGTTGTCAATACTGTAAAACGACATACGAAAAAAGCTAAACATTGACTTAGGTATCTTCCTAAGTTTATGAACGAAAGAATATTGACGAAATAACTCCTGATCCATTTTCACTTGTTCAAGTATCCAAAATCATGTAGCATATTCTCTCAGAATGAAGGATTTCGTCACAAAAAAAAATTTTAGTTTGTTTATTTCAGCATGCCACACCGGCCGTCGAATTACATCCTCTCATGTTTCCCACATACTTAAATGCTACCAAATTACGACAATTTCATCGTCCACAACTGAAAAAATATTCACATCTGAAAGATGACGGTGAATATCATCCAATAGAATCTTTACAGAAAATCATTGAAGCCAAATCATTGGTAATATATATTTGTGCGAGGTTCAATGTCTCCTTTAATATTTCACTATTGTATAGGAAAGAGAAAAAGAACGCCAAGCGTATGGAGGTGGAGAAATGTTTTATATGCGTCGTTTACAAGATTTAAGTGGTACAGATAGTGAATTGGTATTAGCTGAATATTCCGAACAATATCCACCGTTGATGAATCGAACTGGAATGGCAACAAGATTAAAGAATTATTATAAAAAAGTATGATCTTGTTTGAAGGAGAAAAAATAGTTTATTTATATATTCAAGATTGAATATTTCCTATATATAACTCTTTCTTTTATCATTCTCGCTTTTTTAGAAACCGGGAAAACAAGACAATCCACCGCAATTAGAATTTGGTGAATTATCATATGCACACACATCTCCATTTCTTGGTGATATGGCACCAGGCGAAGTGTTGCAGGTATAAAACATATTTTCTTATAGAAGATACATAAGACAAATTTTTCTTCTTTCTATAGGCGTTTGAAAATCATATGTATCGTGCACCAATTTATCTTCATGAAAGTCCTGTTACAGATTTTCTAATTCTTCGTACAAAACAACATTATTATATACGACATATTCGAAATATATTTGTTGTTGGACAAGAATGTCCATTAATCGAAGTACCGGGGCCAAATTCAAAACGAGCCAATAATTTTACAAGAGATTTTCTTCAAGTAATAAAATATATGATCCAGTAGAGAGAAAACTGACAATTTTTTATGACGTTTTTTTAAAGGCATATATTTATCGACTGTTTTGGAAAAGTAAAGATAATCCAACGCGTTTAAAGATGGAAGTGGTAAGAAAAGCATTTCCACAAAATGCTGAAAGTAGCATAAGGAAACGATTGAAATTATGTGCCGATTTCAAACGAACGGGTTTGTTGAGAGAGGCTTGTATAGTTTATTTCAGTTAAAAACAAAAAAAGCATGTGTTTTTAGGTGTTCATTGTAATTGGTGGGTATTGCGAAATGATTTTCGTATACCAACTGAGGAAGAAATTCGTCAGTTAGTATCACCAGAACATTGTTGTGCTTTCTACAGTATGCAAGCAGCAGAACAACGTTTAAAGGGTATTCTATGGGAATATTTTTTGTTTTGCAACATAGATTTACATGTTTGTGTTATCTTTAGATGCTGGCTATGGTGAAAAGTGTCTCTTTGTTCCCGCGGATGAAGAAGCAGATGATAATGAAACTGGAAAGATTGAAGATGAAGTATGAGATTCGATGAAATATGACTTTGAATTATATTTATTTCTTTGTTTAGGTAAAATGTGCTCCATGGCATACAACCAAAGCGTATCTTGATTCGTTAAAAGGAAAATGTTGGTTACAGTTAAGTGGAGTTGCCGATCCAACTGGCACTGGTGAAGCATTTTCCTTTGTTCGAATATCGGCAAAACCAAATGCAAAGGTTCGATGGATTATTTTTAGTGACTTTCATTGATATATTTAATTTGCTTTTTTTCTTCAGGAAGAAGCTGAAGTAGCTCAAGCACGAAAAACTGTTACAGGAACGGATGCTGATTTGAGACGATTACACTTAAAAGATGCTAAAAAGATTTTGAATAAGTTTGGTGTGCCTGATAATGTTATTCGAAATTTAACTCGATGGCAAATAATTGATGTTGTTCGAACAATGTCAACAAAATTAAAAGATGGATCTGATGGAGGTAAATGAAAATTATTAGTTTTAAATGTGTTGAAAATAGAAAATTTACATAACTATCTTTTAGCGGCTATGGCAAAATTTGCACGTGGAAATCGTTATAGTCAAGTTGAATATCAAGAAAAATATAAGGACGAATGTCGACGTATATTTGAATTACAAAATCGGTAATTTCAGTAGAAATGTGTTGTTGATTACCACTTTTACTGTCATCTTTTTAGATCTTTGACGTCAACTCATTTAACATCAACGGATAGCGAGAGTAGTGGTGATTCGGAGGTGGATGAAATGCGTAAAAATCTTGAATCAATGTTACAGCCGAAAAATTCTGCTGCAGGAATTTCTTCATCAACAACGACACCAACAACATCAGCTGTTTTTAATAATTTAAATGCAGATACGACAAATATGAGTGAAGATGATCGAGCAAAAGAACGACGGGATAATGATGATGGAACAAATAGAAAATCAGTAAGTTAGGAAAAAAAAGTTTGTCAGTGTATATCTGTGTTCTGATTGTGAAACTCCTCACTGTGTTTTGTGCATACCACACCTCGTTCCAATGTGACGTAAGATAAGAATTTCGTAAACATTTACCTCTGAAAATAATCTCTAAAATTTTCAAATCAACACTTCTAAAAAGTTCGTTCCAAAAAATTGTGTCAGATAAAAGCGCAATAGTATTCGTCTAATAATAGAAACAGTTTTTCTAATATTAAAATTATACTTTATATTTTCTCAGAATATCAAGTGAGGCGTTAACAAAATTTGTATACAAATTAATTGATTTTCATATGTCTTTAAGCATGTTCGAGTATTAAAGATAATTCGAACATTTCGTGATGAACATAATCGTGAATATCAACGTGTTGAAATAGTAAAAAAACCAATGGTGATTGAAGCATACACAAGAATTCGTCATACAAAAGATGATGCATTCATGTATGTATTTTAGGTAATGAAATACCATGACATTCTAATTGTTGCTGTTATTATAGTCGACAATTTTTTGCACTTGATGAAGCACAACGTGAACAATTACGTCGTGAACGACGTCGTATACAAGAACAATTGCGTCGTGTAAAACGACAAGAAAAATTACAACAAAGTCAACAAGACAAACAATCAAATATAAAATCACCAGAGGATAATGAAGATGACGATGAATATGACACATTTGAAGAAAGAAATAATAATAATGATGATAATTCACATTCTAAATTTTTCTTTGATAACAATTCAAGTCATGCAACAACATCAGCTACACTTGTGACAACAATAGCAAATGGTACAATAGTGTCCTCAGCTTCTTCTAATGCATCGAATCTACATAATAACGATTCATCAGATAACTACTTATCAAATGTCTCTTTAACAACAACAACAACAAACGGGGTCCCTGATACACAAACAATTGATCAAGCAGCAAAAACAAAACGTCGAAAAACTGAAAAAGACTTAAAAGTACGTATAGAACATTGTGGCGTTATACTAATGATTGCATCCCAAAATTCAGTCCATATATCACGAAGCAAAATATTATTCAAACCCTTTGAAAGTGCTTCTTTTAGCCAAACCACTCATATTTCCAATTATTATTTCATCTTTTCTCCTAGATGAAATGCGGTGCATGTGGCGCCGTTGGTCACATGCGTACAAATCGCGAATGTCCCTTCTATCCTAAAACATCAAGTAACACACCAATGAATCCATTGGCGTTAAATAGTACAACGAATAATAATGATGGTTCTCAACACAGTGCTCATAATTTCGATGGTGAGTTCAATAAACAAAATAATGAAGAAGCTGTTAAAATTATTGACGGAACGAAATTAATATTATCAAAAAATGTTATTGAAAAGTAAGTAAATACATATTTTCAGCAGTATGTTGCTCATCGAGTTTTATTTGTCATTTAGAGCTGAGCAAGCAACTAAAACAAAACATTCGTCTGGCAAAGATTCATTATTAACAAGGAAAAGCAAAAAACAAAAAATTTCAAAAGCAGCAATTAGTTCTAGTGATGATGGCGGCACAAATGATATGGATACCTTCAAAGAGCTATCACCACCACCAATCGTTCATATTTCAACAATTCCATTTCATCCAAGCACTTCTCCAGTGACTGTACGCAATGAATCATCTTGGACGACTACCACCAATCATAATTCTTTTGCATCAGCATCACCAGATGTATCACTCTCCAATAAAAGTAATCGTGGAAAAAGTTTAAGTACGTTACACAACACTCCAGTATCAACACCGACAATTTCACCGCCATCAGTACATCAGCCTCCTCTGTCTTCTTCATCGGCCATATTCGAAACATCGTTTTCATTTCCACCAGTCAAAAATGATACAATTGAACGTACTCAAAGTTTTGGTTCTATCGATTATTATTCTGATCGACCCACAAAAAAAGCACAACGACGACGTATTGATCCCGTTGTTAGTTTTGCATCATTATTGGAAACACTACTGAATGAATTGAGAGAATTGCCAGAAGTAAGTATACGATTTATTCTCCTGTTATCGAACATAAACTAGTGGTTATAAAAAGAAATTTTAACTTTTAATTGCTACCTTTGTCAAACAATAATTGTGAGATACGGATATTCTTTTTTAACTGAAATATTCTCTCTAATAGGCTGGCATGTTTGTAACGCCGGTTAATGCTCGTCGTTTCCCAGAATATTATCAAAGTATTAAAAATCCAATGGATTTTCAAACAATTCGTCAAAAAATTCATTCACATACTTATAAAACACGTGAAAGTTTTTTATCTGATATGAAGCAAATTGTTGATAATAGTAGACAATTTAATGGAATCGATGATACGATAACACGTGATGCACAGTTCGTAATGGAAACCTGTTTTCAAAAATTTGCTGCTGTAAGTTAGAATAAGTATTTTTTCTATGGATAGGTTAGACTAATTTCAGTTAATTGTTTAGAAAGAAGATAAATTAATGAAATTGGAAAAATCAATAAATCCATTATTAGATGATGATGACTTAGTAGCTATATCCTATTTATTCGAACGTATTGTGACTAATCATTTAATGAATGTCGAAAATTCATGGCCATTTCTTCGTCCTGTTAGTAAAGTGAAAATTAAAGATTATCATGATATTGTGAAGACACCAATGGATTTGGAAACGATTAGAACGGTCTGTTTTTTTCTTGTTCAATATTAGTCAATAATCTTTTTTTATTATTATTTTAGAATATACTTAAGCATTCTTATCGTAATCGTGCATCATTTTTACATGATGTTGAATTAATATATAAGAACAGTGAACAATATAATGGATCAGTAAATTGTTATACGAACACAGCATTAAAAATTCTTGAAACATGTCGTCAACAATTAGATATGTATGATGAACAATTTGTAGCGTTAGAAAAAAATTTAGAACAACAAGAAAAAGTTATGAATACAACAAATAATACATCATTATTATTATTAGATGATGAGGATGATGATTACGATGATATCAATCCAAATCAAATTGAATCAACATCAATAATATCAAACAACGAACAACAACGACAAAATAATTCTTCAATGGAATCGACTACTATAGCGATGTTTTGTGGTGAGTGAAAAAAACTGAAATTATTATTCAGATAAGATCGAAACGAATAAGTAGCATCCCACTACTTTTCATATATAACTTAATTCATTCTTCACTTTCGAAGTATCTGTTGTTATTGGTTACATATTTGTTTAAATTTTAGATCAAAATAGTAATGAAAGTTTTAATCCAGAAAAATTGACATCTGTTACAAGTCCACTAGAAACAGATCAAACAGGAATCTCATTAGCAACATTTATTGGTCGAGATTTCTCATATGATGAAAATATGATTGTAGACGATGGCAATCAAACAAATAATTTCATTTCATCAACATCGATAATCGAAGATAACAATCCGCCCAGTGTAAAAAAAGAAAATAAGTCAAGTCGACGTGGGGATACAATTAAAGATGTTTTAGGTACGAGATACCTCATATTAAACTTTATAGACTTATGAAATATATTTGTTTGTCTTTAGGTGATATAAGTGAATCAGATCAGTCATCCGATGAGGATAAAGAAAAAAAAATGCTAGTTTCTTCACTATCAGTTTTGCAAACAGATATTTTCCCATTGAATGAAACGTCTTCGACAAAAGATCCACATCAATCTCATCCAAAACATCGACATCATGGACAAAAACATTCGAAAAAACGTAGTTTATCAAAATCAAGACAAAATCATGTGACATCTAGTCTATTGAATAACGCAGATGATGCACTACAATTATCGGAATCTGAAGAAGACTAAATTTATTTATTACTTTCAGATTGTTTTGTTCTTTTCTACTTGTATATTTCTTATATGTTTTTAAAGTTCGAGAGTTTTTCATTTATTCTAATTTATTTTTATGATTCTACTACTTTGTATCTTTTATAATAAGAAGCGAACCTTTTTCTGTGATATATATTTTGGTGAAGTTAACTCATTTTTGAGTGGCTATAAAACCGAAATACAGCCAGTTTATTAAAATATAACTTTAGGATAATAACTAAATAGGATTTGATTTTACTTTCCTTCTGTGGATGGTATACTGTGTTTTAGATTCTATTGGTTCAAATCATTCTAGAAGCAAATTAATAGTAGTGAATTACTTGTGCAAATTTTTTCGAATAGTTCCGTTTGTATTAGGCATGCATTGAGCTTTTTCCTATTTTTTTCACACTTTTGCAAACTTCGATGTGGGACAAGGAAATGAGAGATGGATGAAGTTTGTTGAGCCTGCAGAAGTGTAGAATAGGGCTGTGACAGTTACCAGTTACCGTTACTATCGTTGTCCGTTACTAGAGGTAACGGTAACTGATATAAAATTAATAAGCATCGTTCCTCGTTACTGGAGGGTAAAGGATTTCTTACTGTATATCAATTACCATTACCTCTACTAACGAGGAACGATGCTTATTAGTTTTATGTCAATTATCGTTACCGTTAGTAACGGGGAACGATGGTAACGGTAACTGGTAACTGTCACAGCCCTAGTGTAGAACAAACATTTCCCTATAAAAAGAAATGTAGCCGACCGATCTTCCTACGATTTGTTGTTCTTGTTTTATGGTCAGTTTATTAAGAGCTCCAACAGCCATGTTCAAGCCCGGCGCAGGTTCGACTGATGCATGCCTAACGGACGATTTTATTATATTCAGATCGTTCCGGTATAAATCTCTATTAACCTCTAAATACATCGATAGATCAGTGTTAATAGAGGAACCTAATATTCTAGATATTATTACTGTCGAGGGCTTAGCAAGATCAAAGTTAATCAATTGTTTCGATAGGAATAATCTATCCAATAATTTCATATCAGAAGCGCAAACTCGTGCGCCGAGGATGAGATCCCACCTATCTATCCCTAACGACGTTCTACACAAATGACGTTGTCTTTTACTTTAAAATTTTCTATATTGCAGCTCGATCCCTTCCCATAGTGATAGCTCATATTCCCGTAATATGACAGTTTAAACTAGATATGTTTGCTACAACTGTTCAAATTCAGTTATTTTATTTTTCTTAACAGTAACATTCATATGAAAGGAGCAGTTCAGGTGATTAAATACAACGCTCTCAACAAAATTGAGTGGATAACCGTTTTTCTTAGTTAATTGTCTAATTACATCAAACTCTTGATATAGTCAATGATATGTATTGCAGATTTTCAACAATCGTTAAATCATTGTATATAAAACAATTTTCTTATAGCTTATAGGTAACATGGATAGATTCTCATTCTGTTAAAAGTCCGACAAACGTTGACCTACAATAGACAGTCAGAGTGCAACTATTATTTTCATCACAGAGCTAAAACGTCGAGAAAAGCTATTTTTTCGCTCGCTTTTTGCTCAAACGTGAATGTTATTGATAGATGTAATCAAGAAATCTTTTACAAATAGTCGATGGCAACATTTCAACCTTAACTAATGCAGATATGTCGTTCTTCTCAGTTGGACCATAATGATCGAAATATCGTCAAAATAATTATAAAGAATGACTAATACACACTGGTTCATTAATTCTACGATTCATGTTTACATGAGAATGTGAGCTATTATTGTTGTTAGTTTTTTTATCAACTCAATTTTTCATGTATAATAATTCATATTTATTGACAAAAGTAGTTTCTAATTATGATTGATAGAAGAGAAAAGAAAAAATATTACAAGATGAAACTAGTCGGTTACTACATTCACTCAATGAAGGAAAAAGAGAAGGAAAAATATGACTTCAAGACCAGCCTCAAAGTAACAATATAGCTCGTGCAACGAGAAATCTAACTAAAGATATAGCTACAACGCATTCTACGCGTTTAGAAAGAGAAATAGTTCCATTTCAACAAAAATCACAAATATCATTCGAGTTTGTAATTCTTGTTTGATTATATTTGTTACGTTTGTTCGATTTTCCTGAAAAACTCGTCAATTTCTACTGCTGATAAAAAGACCATTGAATCACCATTAAATTTAGCAACTGATGACTCTAAAAGGCAAATAAAAGATATATACCTCGAGAAATAAAATTCATCGATTCTTTTCCACCTTGTCGAGATAGTCTTGGGCTTGTGCTACGAGTAATATTTGTGGTGCGAGTACATCGTTTCATTGATATGGTATTTTGCAGCGTCATTGCACTAGTATTCTCCTTGTTAGCGTAAGCAATATACTCATTACGCATTGCAGGACTATTATGAAACGAACGATGAATTGTCTGTAATGAAGAGATCGTAATTCATGTTACATACTTAATCATTTGTGCTGTTATTGTCAATTTCATTGATTTCCAGTCTTTTCTGTCACAGATCATTTTCAAATTGCACAGAAAACTCAAACGTTCACCATGTTTTGTATAGAGATCCATCACACACATTGTTGTAGAAGGTTTTTGTGTAACTACAAATATCAACGATTAGCAGCAGATTAAAAATATTGAGGCACAGTAAAACATACGACATTTTTGTCGTGAATGTTCTAATGTATCACAATCGGAAGATACAACGAATGTAGCCAAAGTTTTATTGATCATGTCCACCGTTGAGTAGCCAAGAGTATCTTTCACACTATGCGGAAGAGCAAATAATGTTTCCAATGACCGACTATTGTAGGAGGAGAAAAGCGGTAGTATTACTTAGTTGATATTTGTTGAATCGTCGTGTCTTCTGCCAGTATTCCCTGAAAAGTTTGACAATCAGTCAGCACGTTTGTTTTCGCGATCGAAAGCACACATCCACAACGAGCAATAAATAATGGTTCGGTGTATTGATTCGTCGAAAAAAAATGACCACTCATCAAAATTGTCTGAAAGAAATGAATTGATGTGCACAAACAAAAATTGCATTAAATAAGTCATTCAAAAATGTTGCATCCCAACCGAGTTTCTCATACATAGTAGTGTTATTGTATTCGATGAAATAGAGTATTTCATTTAATAACGGAATACCTTTTCTTTCAAATGTTTGCGTGAAGGACGTTTCCCTTTTGGTAGACGCCATGTACACAGTAATTCTTTTTCGCTTTCGAAATCGTTCGACATCGATAATATTTTATTTAGTTTTTCTCCATCAACAACATCAAGACATTCGTAGATGTTAGCACATTGTATATACAATGTCCGCTAGAATAAAACAATTAACTTAAAAACCTGTTGACGAAGAAATATTAAGTTCGACTAATATTCATACCACGTCTTTTAACAAATATTGTTCAACATTGTCACTGAAAGCAACAATTCGTCCATCTTTGCTTAGAACAACAACAAAACCGTATGCGTGCTAAAAAGTATTTAAGAATAGTGTTCTGACCCAAAACATGTTATGAAACATACCTTAGATAGAGCTTTTAGTCCATCGACTAATTCAATACTTTCTAAAATGGTAAAAATTATTGTTTTAAAGTTCTCACTACTTGATTTTAATTGTTTTACTTGAATAGTTGTCGCCTGTCAGATACTTTTCCTTAATTAAACTTGCATTTGTAAGACCAAGTACATCATTTTTATTATTTTTATTTAACGGCATTTCATTCAAAATTTTTGACAATTCATCTATAGCTTCTTTTGTTCCATTATAGCGTTTTCGACAAGAGCTATCAATCATATATTTAGCTTTTCGCTAGAATAAGTAGAATATTAGAAAGAAAGATGCACAACTTAGAACGTACAAAGTTAATTACTCCTGTTTACCTTTGTTCCAACTCCTCTATTTTCTTGTGAAAAAGAATTTGTTCCACACTGGTGATTATAATTATTAGCATCGATCAACAACATGTTTAAAAATTACTTATGTTAATTAATCGCCTGCGAAAAAATTTCAAAAGCTTTCCTCTTCAGCTGGACCAGCAGCGAAGAAAAAGTGATGTGTTTGATAAATTATTTGGTTATGGAATGATCAACATCGAAATATTTCTTTATTTTATCTTCAGACATTTTTTTCTTTCTCCTTTTCAGCATAACCCTTTGACAAAAAAAATTTGTTTTCTTTCTAATGATAGAGTTGAAAAGGTAAAGGTGCTAGCCGTGCATGTTTGTCTACAGGGTTGTTTTCCTTCACCTCAAAAAACATAATGCACACATTAAAGAAAAATTGTCTCTATATGTTTTTTTTAAATATAAAAAAGTGCAGACTGTAGATGATGATTAGAAGAAAAAAAAAATATGATTTTTATTCAGAGTGTGCTTACAAATACAGAGTGGATTTGGTAAAAAGAAAAAGTTATATTGTTAATGTATTAAGTCTGGAAAAAATAAAAGAAAACGGATCAGTCTGTGTATACTTTAATGATTATATTAAATCTTAACAAAGTGTTTATCATACTTCAGTTTATCCGATCATAAAAGTCACCATAAAAGTTTTTGTGTAAATAAATACTAGTCAATACTAGTCATTTAAAAAATGTGCTCTTTTCGGTACAAATAACTTTTAAACAGTAGACCTGAATTTCAATATATATAAGAAACAGATAATGGTTTTTGTCATTTTCCGGCTCTAACGATGAGCCAGGAAGCTGCTACATATTAATAGTTCTTTAAATAATGCAACCACCCTCTGCAAATGGTAGATGATTTAAGGTATCTCTCTAAAGCTACAGAGATGTATGAACCCTACCAACAAATCACAGATGCAATGGGGTAATCCGGTTTCAGTGCCATTGGACTGGAGAGATAAGAGTTAAAGTTTAAAAAAAAAATCACTTGAGTTTACCAGTGCACCATTATCACAGCTGATGCCGAAAAGAGTTCTGAGAGCTTAGTAGCGATTTTATTTGAAAAGGGTCAGCGTCAACTCGGATTTACCATTACATGGCATTAATAGAGGAGAGCGAAGCAGATAAACAACAACAATTAAGCTGATAATAGTAGAGAAGTGATAACTAACATCAGAAACAAAAGAAAACGAGAAAGTACAGGATGAATAGTTTTTTAATAATAACGAAAAAAACAAGGTCAAAAAATTATTATAATCATAAAAAACATAGCCGGCACAATTATTTTGATAAACACTTTCTTCATCGTCATAAAAAAATAGCAACTCCATTTATTAAACCAGAGTACTCTCTACAAAAAGGGTTTATGTACAAAACCTACAAGGGTATAGAGAAGTGAAACCATTTCTAAATCTTTGTAGGTTTCGTACAGAAAAGATACGGTACGAAACCGGATACCGCCGGTTTATTTTCTTTCCTCCATTTATTATCATATCATGCGTGTAGATAATACTCTTCAAGACGCAACCAACGGTATGTGTTTTGAGTGTAAAAAATGTTTCCATCAAAAGTTATTTCAAAAATAAAATTTTCGGAAATTTTTGGTACTCAGGGGAAAGATAGCGTTTTCTAGCTTTCTGTTCTAACTGAATAAGAATATTTCATATACAGGTTGATTCAGCAAGTCTTACTCTATCTTTATAAATGTGTAGTGTATTATGTGTACATGAACCGCGAGAGAAAAATTTGAAGTAATAAAAAAAAAATTTTCTACATTATGGATACCTTTAATAAAGTTGACATAGCTCAGCTCAGAATGCTTCTCGCAAGACTAAATCTTCAGGAAAGCATCCTGACATTTTGAGCTACAAATTCTGAGAATATAACAGAGAAATATTTTCTCCTAACGGAGTTATGACTTTTTTATTATCTGGCGTGAGTGGTACAAATTGCCTAATTTTTACATAAAACCTAGTTTTTCGACTTGGAAAGCATTCTTTTGCAAAACTAAGGTTATATTCGTAATCTGCGGATAAAACTGAGTCAGAAAATGTATTTAATGATCATTGAGAATCTATAGTTTTGACTCTAGGATTACTTAACTCTAAATACTGCTGATTCTGTCGTCATTCACAATTTTTATTTCAACGATGAGACGGAAAAACTTTTAAAGTAGCCACGTTTGTAGAGCTCGTCTTTCTCTACATTTTGCATGAGTTGGATTATTTTTAAACGTAGAAACGAAAACGTTTTCCGTACTGCTTTCGATATAGAGGCGAAAATGTGAGAATTCTGGTCGTAATTCTCAATTTTTCCATAAGAACTCGACTTTTCTGCAATAAAAATACCATATTCGGAATCAGGACCAAAAACTGAGCCGCCGTTTCGAAATTTTCAATTTATTTTCATTTTTTCATGAAAATTAGAAAAAAAGTAAAGTAGTCAGATAGGATAGGAATAACTCAGATAGGATTTTGAAATAATTTTTGATGGAACCATTTTTTAGACTCAAAACACACAGATGCGTCTTGACGAGTACTATCTACACACATGATATGATAATGAAAGGAGGAAAAAAAAGTAAACCGGCGGCATCCCGTTTAAGTGCATTAAAACGACTGTTCACTGCTTTTGCTAATTGCGTTGTGTTTTTCCTCATGATTTTCTCGTCAAAAACTATAGAAACCTTAGGTATTTTTTGGGCTCAGTTTTTTCCGTTCTATACTATGAAAGCACGCCTAAGCTGCTGAAATGGTCCACTTGCTCAGAAAAAAAACTGATGAAGTTTCATGCATTATCGATTTTTCGCTTTGTATATAGCTCTAGTTTTGTTTTTTAGACTTGATTACACCATGTTTTAATCGGATGTTTCTTCGAGAACATGACGCACGCAATCAGCTTTTTAGTCTTTCTCGATCATCTGGCACTCTCACCATACCATAATTTTTATCTACACAGGAAAAGAAGTCATTTTGAATGAAAAGCTCATGACAGTTTATTTTTCATTATGTAAAAGTGAATAACTATGCTCCTAAGCTCGAAAAAAAGAAAGTGACACGATATCCTGCTGAACACCTAATTTTAATTGTAAAAGATATTCACGAGCCTTACGATACTTTCTGCACGATAAGAAAAATTTTTTGATGAAGACAACATAAAATGGCCTTGAAAATTTTGTTCTACCAGGTGTCCGGAAATTCATTGACCAAAAAGAAAATTAAATATCTCCACCATTTCTCGACCAAACTTCAAGGTTGTTTTTTTGTTTGATAGAGAAACGTTTCAATTTCTATTTCATACGATTGGAACCTCTTGTTAA